ATCGAATTAACTGCTCTAATCGACGATTTTGTCACTGATAAAATGGACGTAGTGCGCGATACGTATTCCGCACAGAACCATTATTTTTGAAATAAAATTGCCCTATTTGCAAGCGTTGTTCAGGCGTTAGTCTATTCATGATGAATTGCCAAACCAAACTGAGAATAAATCACGTGACAGCTGTTAAATCGGTCGCCATCTTGAACGGTAATACCAACTTAAAGTTCTATACATCGAAAAAAACACCCATTACAACGCCCGTCTATTATGCGATGACACCTTTTCTCAGAATCTATTAACAATATTCAAACACTAAGAGGCAAAAGTTGTTTTGAATAATTTATACTTTTCAAATATTTTATTATTAGACGGTGGTGATTCGAAAAATAGATGTCGATATCAGGCTATTTTGCATCTAAGTCTAAATTTTACATCATCTAAATTTTGTGGTTTTTTCACATACACTTTTGATTTTAAACATCCCCAGAGGAAAAGATCCAGTGGAGTAATATCTGGAAATCTTGATTCTATTGATCCCCTTCTACCAATCCACTATCCGGGAAATCTAAATATTCACGCGTCCTGTTGAAACCACATCTGTCTATCTGGCATATCAGTGTAATTTAGATTTGGAAAAAAACTTCGAGATTTGGAATTAACTCATTTTGAACGAATTGCAAATTCCGGTAACATTTGAATCGACGAAATAAGTTCCAACAATTTTGTTATTCAAAAGCCCTGCCCAAACATTCATTTTTTGGGGATGATATATTGTATGGATGATACTATTATTTGAAGCTACTTCAAAAGATGCACGATGGGGATTATCCTTAACTCCTAATAAAATGTTTAATCTTGTGTTTTCATTAGTTTTTGGACGACCTGGAAGTACAGGCCCTGTTTCTATAAATCTGCTCTTGTCGTTTCCATATCTATATCCAATAAAAATTAAAATTTGCCTACAGAAAGGTAATTGGAACACACTACATGAATCACACAGCATTCAAAATAGATTTAAGAAAATGGTGCTCCATTTAAATGAGAAAATCCCTATATATACACAGAGTGTTTGTGTTTCATATATAGATTGTATGTATATCGTTCCAAAATTAGTAAACAATCGCAGCATACACTACGTCCAAAATAAGTTCTAGTTTTAAACTGATGTCGAGAAAGGAATGAACTTGAGAGTTATTCTTTATTACAAAGTTTTCAACTTTTAGCCTTATATTAACTTCGGCATACTGAATCTAAATTTATAAATGTAAATTTTAGTCGGGGGCGTAACTTTTGAAGGGTAAAGGTAAGGGACTTTTAGACTCGTTTCTTATAAAATCGGAAAAGTCGTGTTCTGTTACGGGAAAAAAAGTACACTTGGTTGATATCGCGAGGATGGATCGTTTTCGAGCAAAATGGATATCAAAAATACACTGTTTAGCACGCGTGTTAGTTTTTCATTAAAAATGTAAAGGTAGGCCTTGAAGCAGAATTAAATAATATATAAATATCTAGAAGATTATTTAAGACATCCCAAAAAAAAAATTAAAATGACTCTTACCGTAAAATCATGCTAAACACAAACTTTGTACAAGATATATCAACTAAAATAAACCATTAAATCATTTCATTACAATCTAAATACAAAATGGTAATAGAAGTGCCAATATATAAGTAAATAAATTACTATGGACTTTATAACTATATCACATGGAGCTACACGAGACTCACAATCACTCAAAATAATCAAGGTGATTAGAATATGATTTAGTCACTCCTGACATACCTGGGATGAACGAACGTGAAATTCGTGATCCTAAAAGGCCGATAAAGTACGTTCAGGAATCGGGTATTTCTGAAACTGAGAGCATCAATCAAGAAAACAATATTGGACAGTCAACCTTATAATCAACGAGGTTAAAAAATTGTCTGATCTCTTCTGACCCTCAATGTCAACAGTTCAAATTTATCTTGGAGCAGTCTAAAGTCTGTACATGTCACAGAGGAGAATGTTTAATTTCTAAGCCAAATAAATACATCAGAAACTTTCTTATACTTAATATACCTTGCATAAAGATTGATCCAGACTGTTGAGCAATATTCTACTAACTACGCAATAGTTATATTGCGTTCTTCAGTGAAGCATATGGAGTGACTACATTCAAATCCATTGCATTGAGGTCATACCACAAAGCAACTCTATCTAGCTCAGATTGAATTTTACGGCAATCAAGTTGAGAAGAAATAGTGCATATTTGAAGCATTCAGCAATGTCACTAATAAATATTAAAAATAATAAGGGGCCCACGTCGGTATTTATCTTGACAACTGGAAATCTATCAGTAGCTAGTTCTGGAGTGGAGAAGAATTCCCTGCAGACCAGCTGCTTTTAATTTACTAAAAATTACACTATGATTGACCTTATCGAAAGTTTGGGAATACCGCTTGAGTCTGTGGTTGCAAACGTCTGCTTCATTGGCAATTTTAAAACTGGGTTTCAAATAACTCGTCTAAAAGCGTCGGGAGTCAAAAACGTGATTTGTGACGTGGTTCCAGTCTATCGGTGTCGATGGCAATACCAACTGCGAACGACGTAACGTTCAATTATTGCACTGGCTGTGCTGATGCAGTCTCTAATGGCACCAAATCTTATGAACCGTTTTTCGCGACCTCTGGCCCTTCTTAAAGCCACAATGTCACACATTTTGCCCAGCATCGCGTCGCTCTTGTAGCATTCCGGACAATCCCATTTCAAATTTCCTGAAAAGGCGCTCTAAACTAACCAAACCTAACTCGCTCGATTGCATTACTTAACAATGAGATCAGCACCCCAAAGGCAATAAAAATGAATACAACTCGTAAAGAAATTTTAAAAAGAAAAATTAATAAAGCCTAAAAAATATTTAAATTAAATATTATCGCTAACTATGCAACCAGTCACGGAAAAATTTATTTTTTCTCACATTTAAACACCAACTACTTATTACAGAAGTTGATATGAAGTGAAGTGAAAATAAAAATAATTTAAAAAAAAGGTTGAAATATTGCTGGAACAACAATATTAGAGCCCACCGTTTCCTAGAAACTGAGTTGTGCTGCCAGTAGCTTAATGCATAAGCGTACTCTAAACCAAATATATCGCCAACAAAACAGTGTAAATATAAATAACATAAACATTCACTATCGAAAATCGACGAAACGCAAATATTTTATTAGTTGAGCGCGTATTGTTTTCCCGTTTCTATAACGTGCCTGTATTGAATTATAAAATGTTATGAGAGTAAACAGACCGTTTATACACTGTCATTGCTAACTATGCAATTGAATATCATCAGAAACACCACAATTTGAACTAATTTTTTTTAAACATGCGAATAATGCTGAGAAAAAAACCCACACCTACCGCAAAAATAACTAAAATTGAACGCCATTGTTAATTACATCTCAGCTGAAATAGGACTTTTTTCCCTATGTGTTATAGGGAAGATTGATATTAAGATTAATAATTAATTTCCATTTTAATGTTAAGTGAAACAAATCTAACAAATAAACTTTCAAATAAAGCGAAATATCTTTCAAAAAGTCAAAGCAGTCATACTCACTATACTTTTTTGCAAATAAGGCTGGCATGGTGGACCAAAAAGTTTCTAAATTCATATTCAGAGGAAGGAAAGGTGGCATGACCCCTAAAGAGTAATCCCCCTACAGATGCTGGATGATGTAAAGAGCAAAACGTAACATATTTTAGATTTAATGCTTGCTTCCTGATCCAAAAATCTTTAAGCTTTAGCACTTTCTTAGATCGGACGACGAAGTGTTTGCAGACACATGTTCGTAAGAAAAAAAAGTCTTGTTTCAATTTGAGAACTCTCGGTACCGAATATTGTAAATTATTATATACAAAGAAATAGCGCGAGATTTAAAAAACTTAATAAATAGTGGATAACGTAGAGCATTGCTACCTGTAGCAATAACATGTGGCAACATCGGTATCTTACACAGCATACCTTATACTTTATTGCATTTTTGAGTTAACTGACCTATCTAACCAATCTAAAGCAATAATCACAATGTTATTTTTTTTTAATGTGAAACCACTAATATCAAACCGTTTCATTCTATGGACGGCTGATATTCTGTAAAATAGATTTATCTAGATGAATTTGTTTCCAAAACTTTTATATTCCCCTCCAAAATATTCGAAATTCTCAAAAATGATTGAAGTTGCTCTTTACAAAACTTCTGGATTCCTCCTGCGTCGGTTTTTGCTGAGTCGAAATTGCTGACGTTTCGCCAATCATGCTGTTGGCTTCTTCAGAGCTTGACTGAAACTGATGAAGCCAACAGGATGATTGGCGAAACGTCAGCAATTTCGACTAAGCAAAAACCGACGCAGGCGGAAGCCAGAAGTTTTGCAAAAAGCATTACAGTAGCCTGTGGAAGTTTCTTTGAAAAATGATTGAAGTTCTTTGAAAAGTTTTTCTCGAAATAATCGCAATCATTCTTGATTAACAGACAATGTTCATTAATGTTTCAAAACCTATGAAATCGAGCAAACTAGTTATTCAAATCAAGTTTTGATAAATCCTTTTATTATGTGCGATAATATTACAAAACTGTTATGGAATATGAGGTGCAAAATTCAACATAATATATTTTAATAAGAATGTAATTTGCTTTGGCAAAAAAGAAAGTTTGTCCATTTGAAATAGGCAGGTTGACATTTATTTTCCGGTATAACCGGAAGAGCAGCCGTTTTGAAAATATTTTGGCCAGAGGATTCCCATTGACCAAATTTTCAAATGTTTGCAAATTTAATTAGGAAAGAATAAAAGACGTGATTATTCTGATAGATTCGTGTTTATTTTTTATATACGTCAATAAATAATTTACATGCGTGCTCTCATAACACATTTAAATACATCTACATATGATACAAGTAAATTTATGTACAAAAGCTTACACACTGCTAGATTTTATCCTACGTATATTATTATTATGGGAAAAATAAATGCAACAAGTGTGGTTCCTTTTCAAGGAATGGCATTATCGCAAACATTTCCGGAAGAAATCCGACGGGAGGAACATATTAACGAGGAAAAGAAACGGTAAAAAACGCAGTTCTACATGTTTTCCTAAACATACCTAGTACTATACGATTTATCACAATGTCAAAAGAAAAACCGACAGTTGCCAGACTATACCAACCAGCTGTCCGATCTGAATATCAACGCCATTTACGGCGTGTTGATTATACCATGAATACCATCCTATTATTTGCACAACATTTCAACCGAAGACGTAGCTCTATAAACAGCAAACGATAGCTATTATTCCCGGTGAATTTACAGCTTAGACGTGCTTTCAAATTAAACTGCAACTACGCGAGCTCATCAAAACGGATCAGTCTTAATATTTACATGATCTAAACAATAGGCGTACCCTCAGTACTTTTGGCCGACGCACTCCTGCTGATAGTACCCGGTGGCGGCGCTCCTGTAGCTGTGCGGCGGGCTCGGAGACACTCCCGAGTGCCTGAACGCGGCTAGTTGACAACTAGGAGCAGTTGAGCCGTCGAAAATGATGTCCCTGTATCCCGTAGGGGTTGTCGCCGATTCCGGGGACGTCTCCGGGCTGTACCATGGACTGTACCTCGGGGTAGTCGCTTCGTCGGCGATGCCGTACTGGTGCTGGGGTGTAGCGCTCGGACAATACGAGTACATACCCCCCGAGGAGTGAAGCCGATTGGAATTGGGGTACCCCAACGCCTGATCTCGCGACGTCATCAAACTGTCTACGGTGAAGGCGGCCGCGGTGTCTATCGCTTGCAGCGAAGCCGTCACGTCACTCAACGCGTGCTCCTGGTGAACTATCACCGATTTCGGGTCGCCATATTTGGCGCTCATGCACTGACTCAGCTCGGTATTGGGTTCCCGCTTCGGCTTGCACTCGCCCAGTTTTCCTTTAGGGTGTTCGTCCATGCACTTGTCCTCCCGTTTGGTGAGCGCCGCCGGCGATTCCGGGGTGATCTGTTGCCGTTTGAGGGCTTCCTCCTTCTCCCTCAACGCGTCCTTTTTCTTGAACCTTCTCCGACGGCGCAAGTAGGACCCATTGTCGAACATGTTGTAGGAGTCGGGGTCGAGGGTCCAGTAGCTACCCTTCCCGGGCTTCTTGTCGTCCCTCGGCACTTTGACGAAACACTCGTTGAGGCTCAAATTGTGCCGGATGGAATTCTGCCAGCCCTGCTTGTTCTCCCGGTAGTACGGGAAACGTTCCATTATGAACTGGTAGATGCCGTTGAGTGTGATCTTTTTGTCCTGGGCGTTTTGGATGGCCATGGCGATCAGCGCGATGTACGAGTACGGCGGTTTGACCATGTCCTTGGCGGTGGTGAGGGGATGTTGCTGGTGCCACGCGTAGCCATACCTCGAATATTGCTCGTAAGCGTAAGGGTTGGACGCGACCGCGGCCGTGGGATAGCCGGTACGGTGATAGTAAGCGTTCTGTTCGGGGAAAATCGTGTGCATCTTGCGGTAATGGAAAATTTCGAAAAGAAAACAACGCGTCGGTACGTGTGTGTGTGTGTGTGTTATTCCAAAGAACGCCGAAATCAGTCTCCGCGTTCACTTAATATTATGATACACAACATGGGCCAGTTTACACAGAGATTAAGTGAAAACAGCGTATGTTGCTTCTTGACGCGGCACAATGTTACTAGTGAAAACAGAGAGGTACGTCGAAAGGGTCAGCGTCGTGAGCCTGCGCGTTGCGAGCGTCGGAGCCACGCCCACCCCACGCCGACCAATGGGAAGCGCGCGCGAACCCCCGAGATCGATGTGGGCATCTATGGCCGTGTAATTTCGGGCCCGCCTTACAGGTGGCCGGATTTTTTTACAACACCGTTGAAATTTTAAGCGAGCGACAACAAAACCCTTTAAAAATTGGCGGACGGTTTCAAAGGCGCGCTTTATTTTTGGTCGGCGTTTTGGGAAAAACACATCGGGCGCGTTACGGAAGTTAAGGAGTTGTTAAGTCGCGGAATCGCGCGGGGGAGTTGTCCGGGATGAGGCGGGCGTGTGGGTTGCGATAATGTGGACGAATTTGATTCGGGTGGAGCGTCGATATGAATCGGACGCGTCCGTCGGCCTGGACTATTAGAGGGCAACGAATTTTAAAGAAGGTAAATACCTACTACAACACTATTTACGTCCGTGTGGAAATGCTCGAAACTTTCAAGCTACAACGGGTAATATACCGTCAAACGGGACTACTTTGACACGTGTTTAGGACATTTTTCAATATAACGTTAACCTTCTTCTTCTTCTTATTCTTATTCTTAGGTTAAGTCCATTGACTTGTGTTTACTGGGTAATATTTAATCTTATTTGTGTTTCTGATGACCAGCTATCTTGCCATCTTTTTTGTGGTCTTTCTCTTGATCTTTTCCCCTCAGGTTTAACATCTCTTGCGATCTTTGCTAATCTGTGCTCTTCCATTCTCGTTACGTGTTGATTCCAATTTTTTCTTCTCTCTCGTCCCCATCTTATTGAATATTACATTGTTGCCGGATATCGTCGTTTCTTACGTGGTCTTGTCTAGTCTTTCCTATTATGCATCTTAATGTTTTCATTTCAGTTGTTCTTAGCGCCTGTTTTGTTTTCTTTGTATCGGCTCTGGTTCCTATGCTCCTTACTTGATATATCGTGTCTTGGTAAAGATCTCGGTGCCTTCTTACATCTACTCCTAAGTATCTTGATGACATTACTTGCTTTATGGTTGTCCCTTCTATCTTCAGCTTACATCTTATTGGTTCCTTAGATATTGTTAGATATTCAATTTTTTCTGTTGATATTGCCACATTGTATTCTTTTGCGGTTTTACTGAATATATGGAATATTATTTGTAGGTTGTCTTCGCTATTAGATATCAGTACCGCATCGTCCGCGTAATATAGAATCGTGATATTTGTGTTTCCTATTTTGTATCCTGTTAGTCTTTTTTCTTTTTCTATCATATTGTCCATAATCAGGTTAAATAGAAACGGACTTAAGCTGTCTTCTTGTTTTATTCCTGTGTTTACATTTATTTCTTCAGATACCTTTCCCTCAGCTTTTATTTTAGTGGAGCAGTTGTAATTGAGTTCTCCTATGATTCTTATTATTTTAGGAGATACATTTTTTTCTTTAAGTAAGTATACTATGTCAGTAAGTCATATTTTCAAACGCTTTTGTTAAGTCCACGAAACACATGAAGATGGGGTTGTTGTATTCTATTGACTTTTCCACTAACTGGCGGATTATAAAGATGGCATCTGTTGTGGATCTGTTCTTTCTAAAAGCTTGCTGCTCTTCGCATATCGGAATTGTTGCTCTTAGTTCGTCGGCTATGATTTTGGTGATATTGTATCTAGCAATTATATTCCCCTATAGTTTGATGCCTTGTTCTTGTGTACTTTTCTAAATATTAATGTAGTCAAAGTTTTATTCCACTCTGGAGGTATCTTTTCTTCGTTAATTAGTTTTTTGAAAATTTTTGTTATTTCCTTTATTAGTATTGGTCCTCTATATTTAATTTCTTCGTTTGTGATCGTGTTTTCTCCTGGTGCTTTTCATTTTTCAGTTATCGTATTTCGTTTTTCACGTGGTTTTCTGTTATTATCCAATTTGAGCCCATTGTTTCTGTTTTGTTTTGAGCATTATTTTCTTTTGAGTTGTATAGATTTTTAAAGTATTTTGTGAATTCTTCCATTTTTATTGAGTTAATCTTTATGCATTCATTTATAGGTTTTTTAGTTGATCGTAATAGTGTCCACAATCTTTTCTGACTTCCATAAAAATCGTGTTCGATGTCTTTCGTGCATCTTTCCCAACATTCCTCTTTGATGGTTTTTATACTTGCAGTCGCCCTGTTTCTTTTTGCTATATAGTTTGCGTATTCTTCTAGTGTTTTGTCTCTTCCATATTTTAAGTATGCGTCTCTTTTTTCTTTGCATATGAATTTTACCTCTTCTGTAAACCAGGATTTGTTGACTTTTTTGTTATTTACATTTATCTTTCTTGCTCCAAGTGTTTCACTTCAAGCTGTTATTATGTTGTTTGTTTTTTTTTTCAGCATTGCTCTACATCATCGTTATGTGTTATTTCGTTTTCTTCTATTTTTAATTTTAGTCTGTTTTGATACAAAGTCTTTATGCTTTCGTTTTCTAGTGATTCTATATTAGTTTTCTCTATGTATTCTGGTTGTATTTTCATCAGAGGTGGTCTCTGTAATCTGATTTTGCTTAACACTAACTGATTGAGGATAGTACTCGAACATCCAGTATGTTCTTAGGCTGTATGTTTTTATTAGTTATTTTGTAATCTATTACGGATTCCTCTTGTATGTGCCCAGGTATATTTGTGTTGGAAGAACGTGTTGTTAATTCTTAGTTCGTTGTGTGCACATGATTCCATTACCACTTCACCTCGGTCGTTCATTAAATTTTTCTTTTACTCTTTTTTTTCCCACTCTTGTTTTCAGGTTTCTCATAATAATTATTCTGTCTTTAGATGGTATGTTATTCAGTTCGTCTTGTATTTGGTCGCAGAAGGCTACATATTCTTCCACGGGTTTGGCGGCATCTAGTGTATAGGTCGATATAATGTGCGTTGATGTTCTTTCAATATTCAGTGTTGCTATTAGTATTCTATCATTTACGTAGTCAACGTTATGTGTGGTATAAATTTTTCATTTATTAATAATCCAACTCCCGGATTTGTCATTTTATCGGTTTCCTCTATGCCGCTATATAATAACATGAAATTTTCGTGTGGTCCCTTTTGCTTTGCGTCTGGTTTCCGATAGAGCTAAGAACCTAACCTTGTAAAATAAATTAGATTGCTGAATTGACTGTTGCACTCCAAATTGCCAAATTATTTGTTGTTATTTTTAGTCAAAAAAAGTGTCTTACAAGAATAAAACGTTTTAATTATTTTACATTTTTAAAATTAAACAAGAAACTCTAGAAAGCATTTAATCTACGTTTTACATACCTATAAAAATAAAACAAAGATATTTATTTATACTCCAAAAACAAAAACAGTTACAGAAAAGTTCTTTGCTGTGTATAGAAAGAAAAACGTTGAACATACCCCAAACCATGGCATAAACAAAAAAAAATTAAATTAAAACTTTTTTAATTTTCGATCCTTTTGCGATCTCAGTTTCAGGGTTAAAGGTTCTCTCCTCATCACTGTTATCGGTATATAGTTCCTTCGCCTCGTCATCTGTGTCTTAACAAACTACGCACACATAAAATGGATCAGTGCTTTCTGAATTACAAAGTCGGCAAATCCACTTCTTTTGGCACTTACTTCTCAAACTTGCTTTTGTTATACTAATAGACGGACGAACTTTAGGTTTCTTTGCTTTGCCTGTGATCTTTTTGATGATATTTCTCATGGCCCTGGCTGGCTGTCTTAGAAACAAAGCAATTTTTCGTTGCTTTTGTCTGAGATTGTCTGGGGTTGAGTTTCCACTTCATTTTGGATTTGCTCATTGGGAGTCGCTTGGTCTTTAATAGTCGTCTGATTTCCATCTTCAAACTTCAATCCCCTTTTTCTTTTTTTCTGGTCTTCGCTTGTTCCCCTCAGCAAACACAGCCACATTTTGAGGGCCGCATCAAATGTGTGGCGTCGACTGGAAAAGGGCACATATAACTATTATTTCCTAGGGCTGCTTTTGTGACCTGTGGTGAAAAATAGTTAGCCAAGTTATCCCCAACTACAATTGCTCCTGTTTCTGGTTCCTTGGTGGCCATTATGTGGTGTAAAAGGGATTTAAAAAACCATTGCACAAAAAAATTCATGTCGGAACATCGGGAAAGGCAGTTCCCATATACAGTGCCAGGGGGTGTTCCAGTACACCAGTTTTCATTTAAATTGGAGCTTTTATTCAGTACCATATGGGGCAGAAGATCTCAGGCACAGGACCGACAATAGTTCTGTACTCGTTCTACCCTACGAAAGTTTCTGCGAACAATAACTTCCTTCGCACCAGAATTATCAGCGATATCAGTTTCGTCGTTTTTATTATCAACATCACCTAATGCTAATGACTATCGCGATTTTTTAATATTTGTTGCGATTCATGTGGAAAGATTTTGTTTCTCGATAAAGTTTTCGACAAAATCGGGTCCAGGATAATTTTCTTTGAATTAATGCACTGATTTGCCCTGTTTCTCCAAGAATATTTTGACCACGGCACTTGGTTAAAGTAAAACCTCACTTTACCGCTTGTAGTTCGCCACTGTTAAGGACACTTGGATGACCTAGCGACCGGTTGTGTTTTTATTTTTTATTTATTTATTTATTTTTTAAAAGCTTGGAGTGCTTTTCTTATGTCTTCGATCGAATAGTTGCGGTACCTTCGCTTTCCCGGAACTTTTTCGTAATGTTTTACCATTTTTAATTACTTCATACCTGTAACATTAGCAACTGATATTAACATAAAGTAAAATAAAGGAAAATAAAAACCAAAAATAAATGTTCGTAGTGATCAAGTTTGATCGTAATATTAATAGTAATTAATATCTTTGTTGTTTTAACCAATAATAAAATAAACCAAGTAAATAATTACAATCTCTACAAAATAAAAATAAATAGTTTACGTGAGAGCAGACATCGGGACAACCAGATACTGGTAAATCC